ACACACCCACCCGCACACAATAAATTGTTTTTAACTCGAGGCTGTGGAAAATAGTTTGGCAAAGTTTCATACACGCCTGTACACAACAAATCTTTCTGCCACATTTTCCAATAATCTTATCTCTGTGAAAATTTTTCAACAACCTTTTTTTCCTTGACGCCCCCCCCCCTTTCTTTTAAAATCCTTCACATTTTCATAATCTTTTATTTTTTTTCCGACAATAAACTCAGCCAAGAATTGGAAAAATGGCGAACAAACGCCATCAAGTTCGAATGCAAACACAACCACCACCCACCCACCACCATCATCATCAACTCACACAAATTGTAAATAATTGTTTAAAAAATTTAATTATCGATAAACAAACAAACGGAAAAAAACACCTTGTAAATCAACCGGACATTAAATAAAATTAAACGATAATAATTTGAAATCAAATTGAATAAATCAACGAAACAAACGATTGAACAAACAACCTAAAAACAAACGTAGTAACCATTTTTTTTCCTCCTTTTTTTTTTAAATTTAAAACGTTTAATTGGAAAGAAAAAACGGTTAAAAAAAAAATTAAAAATAAAACGCGCTATCGTTCAATTATTCATATAGTCCTGGAAAAAAATTTCTCCACGGTTAAAATAACTAGAGAAAAAAAAAAAAACAACAAACGCCAACATCCCAATGCTCAGATTACATTTCTTGATGTTCACATCATTTCTTTTATAGTCAAAACAAAAAAAAAAAAAAAAAAAAACTTTCAGGGGAATTTTTTTCCTTTTTTTTCCTTTTTTTTTGTTTTTGAAAAATATATATAAACGAGAATAAAAAAAAAATGGGAAAAGAATTGGAAAATTTTCCGTCGGAAAAATATTCGGAAAAAAAAAAATTTTTTTTGTGTCGTACGCATTCAGACGCGTATATACCACCGAATTCAATTAAAAATTAATTTCTAATAAATTTTTGATGACTTTTTTCTTATTATCGATTATCGATAATAATAATTATTATTATTATTAATAAAACAAGGCTGCCAATTTATTAAAAAAAAAAAAAAAGGAAAAAATGATGAAAACGCACACTCGAGAATTTTTCTTTTTTAATTTCAACAATGCAAAATCATTATTATTATTTAATTCCCTCGCGAAAAAAACGCGCGTTTTTTTTTTTTCGAGAGAGAGAGGTGAAAAGGAAACGAGGGAGGATATGGATAAATGAGAGACCGGATATTGTAAAAAAAAAGGAAGAAAAAGAAAATTTTTTTTTTTATTATTATTTTTTTTTACGTCATTTCCTTTTCCTATAAATAATTATTCGACGAGTTTAAAAAAAAAAAGTGGAAGAAGAAGAAGGAAAAAAAGAAGGGCTGTAGAAGAAGGAGGAGAAAGAGGTGGAAAAGAAAAAGGGTAGGGATAGGAGAGAAAGGGGAGGAGAGAGAGAAGGAGAGAGAGAAGAAAAAAAATAATAATTTCCTTTTAAAAAATTATAAAATTTTACTTAATTGAATTTGTTTGAGAATTTTAAAACGATGGTAAATTCAAACATCAGAGTTTATCCCACGGTTTTAATAAAAATTTCATGATAAAATTTTCTGCTTCCACTTTATTTTTTTTTTATTTTTTTTTTTTTAGTAGCGAAGCGTCAAAAAGATTTCGAATAAAAATAAAAAAAAAATTCCCGTTTTTTTATTTTTTTTACTTTTTTTTAAATTTAAATAATAAATTAAATGAAATTTTTTCTTTTTTTTACTTTTTTTTTTTTTTTTTCGTTTTCTACTTCCACGTCGTTTAATACACATGCAATAGAAATTTATAGCCCTTAACGAAAAACCATAAAAAAAATAAAAAAATATAGTTTTAAATGTAATAATTTTAACAAAGTGAAATCTTGAACCTGACACGTCTATTACGCGAGATAAAAGTTAATATTTAATGCTACTGACACGTTTACAACATCCGAATTTATTTTTCACGCTAAAAAATAAAAAATTAATAATAATAATAATAATAACAATAAAAATTAATTTTTAACGTGTGTCGATGTCAAAAGATAAAAAAAAATTTTTTTTTTCATTGTTTTTTTTTTTTTTGGTTTTGTTTTTGTTTGTTCGTTTGTTTTGTGACCGAATTTTCATGATAAGGGCGATGATTGATAACAACCGTAGTAACCCGACCAACACCGTGTGATAAAGTCAATAAATAATTTTAAAAAATAATAATAATAATAATTTTTCGAAAACTTCAATTCGTTATTTAATAATTTTTTATGAGCCGTTTTAAAACTTTCGATTGAACTCCAACCGGAATATAATCAATCGAGCTTTCGAGGGGGGGGGGAAAGGGGGGTAAACGTGTCATTAAACAAAAGTTTTTTTTTTAAATGACACAAAAGGTTTTTTAAATATTATTATTATTATAAAATTTAATTCTGTCTCATGAAAAAAAAAAGAAAAAAGAAAAAATGGCCGACATTTTTAAGGAAACGGATACCCGTTTTAACGCGTGGCGTCATATAAAACGTTTGTTTAAAATTGATTTCTTTTAAATTTTTGTTTGTTTGTTTTTAAAGAAAATAAACGACTAAAAATAAAAATAAAATCAAATCCTTTAAATTGTCCACTTTAAAAAATTAAAAAAAAAAAAAAAAAAACTCCACAAAATAAATTCAACGAATGGAAAAAAAAAGTTACGGCATCACCTTTATTCAATCCGCAACCATTTTATTATTATTATTATTATTTTAAAACTTTTACCGGAAATAAAAAAGAAAAAGTACAACAACAACAACAACGTCAACGATTCATTAATAAAAATACACCTGAGAGAATTGGAAAAGAAATAAAAAAAAGAAAAAAAGAAAAATTTTTATTTATGTGAAGAATAAATAATTTTATGAAAGTTTAAAAAAGTTTAAATTAAATTTTAAAATGCCGCCGACTGACGATTCTACCTGCCCCCTGCCCTCCCTACCCTCTTGACCCCCATCCTTCCTCCCGACGTGAAAAAAAAAAAATGATGATGATAATAATACTAAAAATTATTCGTACACTACGGTCGGTCGTGAAAGCATGTAAAAAAAAAAAAGTGCGAGAGTGAGAGAGAGAGAGAGGGAACGCATTGAAATTTTACGGGAAGAACATTTTTTTTTTTTTTTTTTTTTTACGTCCCACGGGATGAAAAATAACAAGACAACGAATTGGTTTAGGGCCAGACGACTTCCTCTAAGATAAGTTTCACCGTCGGGATCGTGATCCAATTTTGAAAAAAAAAAAAAAAAAAAAAAAAGAAAACTTTAACTCTACCGCCATTGCCATCGCAATCGCCGCCATATCTTTTTCACCATCTACTCGTCGTAAAAGATGTAGAAAGTTCATATAAAAAAAAAAATCAAACTCGTCATAAAAGAAAAAAAGAAAAAAAATTTTTTTTTCCCCGTTTCCGTTTTCAATGGAATCCATATTGTTTTTTTTTTTTTTTTTAACCTTTTACACTTTCTTTTTCTATATCTTCTAACCAATTTTCCATTTTTACGATTTGGTTATGTTCCTTTGAGATCACACACACACACACGTAAAACCTCTTACCTATTTTATTCATTTATTTATTTATTATTTATTTTATATGCGTTTATTGAAATTCAACGTGGAAGAAAAAAAAGAAGAGAAAATTTCAAATTCGTTTCGCCATGTTTTCTTTTTTTTTTTTTTTTCTCCATATCATTTTTAAAATTTATATTTTCATTCACGTTTCTCGGTTATTAATAATTAATTTTTATTTATTCTTCATTTTTCATTATTATTATTATTATTATTATTATTTCGTTTTTTTTTTCGATTTTATTTCCGGAAAATTAAGATTTTGATATATAAATAAGTTACGTTTGGTTTCCGTTTCCGAATTGACAAATGAATGTTTGGGGTCGCGAAAGGTGGTTAAAACATAAATTAGAGGTTTCAACCCGAAAAATAAATGTTTTTGTTTTCTCAGGTGAATAATTGTTTCCTTCACTCCAATAATGGAATTTCTACTTTTACCATTTTTCCCATATATATATATATATATATATATATTCCACCACCACCACCACCGCCCCCTCACACATCGTACATCCCTAAATTTTTCTATAACTCCCTCGGAAAAATACAAACAAACAAAAAAATTTTTTTTTTTTAATTTAAATTGCGAGAAAGGTAATTTACTTTTGTTTTGTTATTATTATTATTATTATAAAAGTGAAAATTACTATTGTAAAATGTTTTATGATGTGATGATAACAATAATAATAAATAAAACGAAAGAAATGAGCAAAGAATACAACGGTGAAATTTGATAAACTGCAATAACGGGGAGCACCTATAAAAATATAAGTTGAGGAGTTAAAGGGCATGGTTTGATTATGTTAGGATGTTCATTTCACTCCGTTTGTGCACCATTTTGACGTGGAGGAAGAAAAAATCACAGTTGTGTAAAATCGAAAAGAAAGATCCGACATACTACCCTACACCCTGCCACCTTCATCCGACTAGAAATCACTTTAGGGTCAAGGGGGGTGGGTGATATTTATTAAAACGAAATCGAATATTTTTTTTTTTTTTTCGGACGAAGAAAAGCAGACTAAATTTTTAACGAGGGATAACAATACGTTGTTAGTAGTTTCGAAGAGCAGACCGTGTTGGTTGTTGCACATATTGTGTTGCTTAAAAAAAAAAAAAAAAACTCAGATTCGGACAATCGAAGGGAGGATTAGGAATAAAATGCAGATTAAACTCCCATGAGCACTCCTCACTTTTCTTTCTCCCCAATTACAAAATTTAAAGATTAGTAACTTAAGCTTGAATCCCTCACTTTCTCTTCAAAGGGAGATTAATCCACAAATGCATTTCTCCCAGATCAACGAGAAAAAAAAAAAAGTTCGGAAGACCCCCTCCCCCCTTGATTCTGTCATGTCAAATCGAAAGAGATTTTAAGTAAATGGTAGTAGCACGTACACATTTTACGATTGCAAATTTTTTTTTTTTTTTTTTTAACAAAATGGACAAACAAGGTCAACTACATAAACTAATAAACCGGAAATCACATGATAGAACGATATTTCGAAAAACGACGTCAACTAATTGAATCGGACTAGTCAAAAAACCAGGAAAACAATTTCGCATTGCAGACATTTTTGTTATTTAAATGATCAGGATGTAAAATTCGTAAAAACCGGAAATGATTTCGGTCGGTCGTCGACGTGTCGCAAACGACGAGGAGTCATTTGAAAAGAACTAAAACTATTATTATTGTTAATTACATTCATAAAAATATTTTTACGAAAAAAAAAAAATAAATAAATATTTACCGTGATTGAAACCGTAAATAATAATAATATTAATAACAATAAATTTTCCGATTATACAAAAAACTAAAAAAAAGAAAAACCGGAAACCGGTTTTACAAATAAAAATTCCACAAGTTTATAGTTTGACTAATGAGCGGTTGGTTGATTTAATTACCCGATGACCCACGAAAAATAAAATCGATAAACCGCCATCGAATTTTATCATTATGAAAAAAAAACTTTTAATTATCATAACAATTTTCCTAACAAAAAAATTTTTTTTTCTTCCTTCTTTTATTGATGATAACGCGCGTGTGCGTAAAATACGCGTGACGATTATTTGTAATTATTTTATTTTATGTAATTCTTTATCGATTTTCTGCCGCGAAGGAATTAAATTTAATGATAAAAAAATTTAATGAGTGATAAGATTGGTACTCACCTATCGGTAAAATTTCCTTCGGATTTTGCTATGTTTGCCGTTTCGCTAAAAACGAATATTCTAGATAAACCTCTGTACCATTTTATACTGTGAAGTTCACCACATTTTGCCGGATCTACTGTACACGGTAATTCGACTTCTTGACCTACTAAACCGGCTACCGTCATTTGCGGTACACCTGGAAAAAAAAATAATAATAATAATATTTACGAATTCGTTTGCACGGGAATACATAAAACTCCGTCGATAGGAAAGGAAAGGACAGGAAAGGAAACCAACCTACATTTTCAAAAGATGCTTCTAAAAAGTAAAAACTACAAAAATCAAGACCTACAATAACAATAAAAACTAATTTCATATTAAAACTTTATTCAAATCTACGCATGCATGCGTATATTCATCCACATTTATTTTCACTATTTAAATTACTATTATTATTATTATTATTATTATTATTATTATTATTAGAAAAACTACGAAATTACAGAGACCCAAACACACAGACACACACACTCACACACACAGAAACCTCACACACACACTCTAAGCACAAGTTAAAAACGTTTAAGTTTACTAACAAATTTTTTAAAAAAAAAAATATAATTAACACAAGTTGGCAACACTTATTATTATTATTATTATTTTGTAAGTAGTTGAAAAAAAAACCGCGAAAAATATTTTTTTTTTAAAAAAAAAAGAAAAAAATTATTTATTTTTGTACTTTTATCGTAATGACAACTTTTTAAACCCAATTTTTTTTCGGAGCCCGCCCCACTTCTCCCCCCCGAAAAAAAAAAAACCGATAAAAATTCAAATGACTTTTATCATTTACATCATCATCATCATCATCATCATTATTAATTATTTATTTGTTTATTTATTTATTTTTATTTTTTCATCTACGCAGCGGCGTAGTAATTTACAAATTTAAAAGGGTTTTATTAATAATTTAATTAATATTTATGGAGTAATAAATATTATTAAATTCGTTAATACATCATCTAAATGATAATAATAATAATAATAATAATAATAATAATAATAATAATAATAATAATAATAATAATAATAATAATAATAATAATAATAATAATAATAATAATAATGGTAATATTGATAATAATAAAAACTGACGAAATGATTATTAAATACGTACAAAAAAAATTTTTTTTCATTTTAAGGTAGTACATTCAATAAGTTTTAAAATATGTTCAAAATTATTATTATTACATAATAAAAACTAATTAAATAATATTATTATTACGTAATAAAATCTAATGAAATCAAGTGAATGATTTTTTTTTTTTCGAGAGAGGGGGAGGGGGAGAGGAGGAAAAAGGAAAGGGGGTGTTCGAAAATTAAAATATAATAAAAATGATTAACAACTCATATTGATAATCGTTTTTTTTTTTTTATATGTACAGAACCGTTAAATATATTTCTATAGAAGCGATACGGAGAGAGTGAGAGAGAGAACGGGGGGAGAAAGTGAAAGTGAGAGTGAGAGAGGAGAAGAGAGGGAGAGAGGAGAAGAGAGAGGAGAAGAGAGAGGAGAAGAGAGGGAGAGAGGAGAAGAGAGAGGAGAAGAGAGAGGAGAAGAGAGGGAGAGAGGAGAAGAGAGGGAGAGAGGGGAAGAGAGAAATGTTGAAAAAAAATGAATCGAAAATTTTTTTTTTTTTTTTACAGATTCTCAGTGGGATATTTTGGCTTTAACGTCTCATTCACTGCCAAAAAATTATATAAATGAGTTTGCACTCATCTTTATCAAAGCTTTTATTATTATTTTTCTCTCTCTTACAATTCAAATAAATTACAGTATTCAAAATTAAACAATCTCCTCCCACATAATGTCTACGTCTGCATAAAATTTACTAGTCTCCACCCTGTGAGTCCTGGCAAAAGTTTGTCTCTTTCTCTCTCTCTCTCTCTCTCTCTCTCTCTCTCTCTCTCTTTTATCTTTTCGAGTGTGCACACTCTCAACCCTTTACCATCACCACCCCCTTCTTTTTTTTTTTTTTTTTTATCACCCCCCCCCGTTTTTAACGGCCTATATAATAAACACGCGTCGCGCTAAAAAAAAAAAATCATCCTTTCATTTTTAATGATAAATAAACGCATCGATAATTTATTTTTAATTTTTTTTTTTTTTACTACTTCCACGACGTGACGTACGAATAATTTTCTAACGTGCACACACGCGCACACGCACACTCTAATAATTATAGTTCGAAGCTATAAAAATTTATTAGAGTTAATAAAGAATAAGTTATACTTGCATATTTATGTAGAATTAATAACTGGAAAGGTTTTTCCAGTTTTCAAATTTGAAAATAATAATACTTTTTAATATATTACTGTTCCTGGATAATAATAATAATTTTTATGCATCGTCGTCGTCATCAATTTTTTAATATAAAAAATTCTAAATATTTTTTCATTTGATTATTTGAAATTACGTCGATGATTATTATTATTATTTTCTTTATTACAATTGTTTTCTACTCTGTGAGTTTTAATAAAAACTATCGCGTAAATAAATAAAAAATTATAGCGCTATAAAATTTTTTTTTTTTGTGATAAATGATTTGATTACATTTTGATACAATGTGATGAAAAAAAAATTATTTTTTTTTTAAAACAATCAATCACGAATTGGTGCTATAAATGCTATAAATTTTTTATATAGCGCTATATTTTAAAAGCATCACGTTCGTCGTTAAATTTTTTATTGTTTAATTATTGAAAATAATTCGTTAATAAATTTCAAATGATTTTTTTTTTTTTCAATATTACGACGATTGCAAAAGTGAAAAGAGAAAGGAGGGGGTAGAAAAGCAGAAGAAAAACGACGTATAAACAAAACAATAAAGATTTTTTTGAATCTCTTTAAGTTTTAAGGGGTGCCAAATATTGAGAAAAACAAAATAAAAATTAACGCGCTCTTTTAACAAATCAATTAAAGCGGTCATTCTTGTAAAAAAAATTTTTCCTGGAAAAACCTCCTCGTTTCCTTTTTTTTTTAGGAAAATTTTCCAGTCATCTTTTTCAATTTCTTATAATTTTAACATTCCTTTATTCTTCCTTTTATTCCCCCTCCCCACTCCCTCCTACTCCTCCTCATTGATTTAACTAGTATTTCCTTCCGACGAAAACCTCTTTCTTTCCTCTTAACTTTGTCGGGACTTTTATATTCCATGTTATTTTATTTTCCCAGGTTTTGGAATAAGTCCCTTATGGTGATTATGTCCTTTCGCCCATAAATTTTCCACTTTATATTATTATTATTATTATTATTATTCCATCTCTCTTTTTCTTACAATCTTTTCTTTTATCTTTCTTCCACTCCCACTCTCTCTCTCTCTCTCTCTCTCTCTCTCTCACTTTTACTCGTTCTATTTCATTCATTTATCTTTTTACATTTTCTCATTCTCTTATTTTTGTTGTTGTTGTTGTTCCTGTTGTTCTTCTTCTACTTGTTTAACTTTAAAATTGTTTTTTTTCTTTCCTTTTTTTTATGCGGCTTTACATATAAATATACATGAATATATATATATATATATATATATATATATATATATATATATATATATATATATATATATATATATATATATATAAGTAAAATGACCTGTTTTTGTTTTTTTTTTTTTTATGTTTTATGTTTTTAGTGTTTTTGTTTTTTGCTAAGGGATACAAATAATAAAATTAGCTAACTCGGATTTTCTTTTTCTTTTTTTTTTCTCTTCTCTCTTATTTATTTATTTTTCCTTTATTTCGGTGTAAAATTTATTATTATTATTATTATTATTATTAATATTATTTATTTGTCCGTTGTTAACTAGAAAGGAAAGAAAAAAGAGGAGGGGAGGGGGAAATAATAATAATTTTTTAAAGAATTTAAATATTGTAGGACTCGTATAAAATAATATTTTTTTTTTTTCGAGGTTTTTACCAAATGAAAGAAATTTTTTTTTTTTTTTTTGTATATGTGAAAAAACATTTACGCGCACGAACAAACACACGTATACATTTTATTGTCGTTCCTGGAAAATTTACCGGGAAAGTGAGAGAGTGAGAGAAAGAAAAAAAAAAAAACTTCATCAAATATTCATCGTCTTTAATCCTTTGAACTGGAAATTTTTTTCTTTTTTTTTTTTTTATATTTAAATTAAGTGTAAATTAATACAATGTTACCTTTAACCTTTTTACTGGAAAATAATCTTTTTCCAAAAAAAAAAAAAAAAATTCCGGAAAAAAAAAAGATGGAAAAGAATTGAAATTGTTGTGATGATGGTAAAAAACCGAGGAAGGAGGAAAAAATTCAAAAAAAAAAAAAAAATTTTTTTTTGTTTTGAATATTAATTTCAATTTTATCCGCTGGGAGGTGTTGTTGTTGTTTGTTTTTTTTTTTTTTAAATTTTTAAATTATTATTTTTCCATACGTTTTTCCACCAAATTAAAAAAAAAAAAAAATTCATTTTTCATCATCATCATCATCATCATCATCATCATCATCATCATTATTATTTTTTAAAATTTTCCATAGAGTAAATAAAACAAAAAAAACAAAAAGCCTTTTCCTTTTTTTCTCTTCCCTTTCATTTCATTTTTTTTTTTTTCGGTCAATAAAATTTAAACCTAATTTAAAATTATATATATAATAAGAATTTTTTCCTTTTTTCTTTTTTTTTTTGTTCTGTGTGGAAAATTGAAAAGGTCTTTTGTCATTTTGAAAATTTTCCGGAAAAGTATTTCCGCATTTTTACCAAAAACCTTTCTTTTTTTAAACGTATTTTTTATTTATCGATATAAACTTTTTTCTTTTTTTTTCATTTTTAATTACGCATTCAAGTCGACGAGTAATAAAAAATTAGTTTTAAAAGTAAATAAATAATAATAATAATAACAATTTTTTTTTTTTAAATCCTGTTGAATCCTTTTTTTAGCAGAAGAAAAAAAAAAGATTTTAAAAGGGTTAAAATGTCTTTGAATAATATTTTATTTTAATTTAAAAAAAAAAAAAAAAAAGGAAAAAAAGAATTAAATTAATAATTTAAATATCATTTAATTAAAGCCTATTTAATAATTTATTAATTTATTATTATTATTATTACCCCTGAGACAAATCAGAAATGAAAATTAATGTAAAGTTTTAACCTTTCGGACCCCCCGAAGTGACTTAAAAAAAAAAAAAAAAATTAATAAAATTATATTTTCAAACTTTAAGCTTTAAACTTTTTTTTTTCCTTTCAAAACCGAATAAAATATTTTAAAATTAAACAAAATCGCCTTATTAATAAAAAAATCCTATTCAAATAAGTTTAATAATGACAATAATAATAATAAACTAAATCGAAC